GTTAATATCTGACTTTGCATTTTACTCGAAAATATAATTAAAATAAAAATATAATTATAATAAAATATAAACTCTCTCTTTCTCTCTCTCTCTTAACGTTCTTTATTCTTTTCATTTCTCTCTTTCATTATTTTATCTCGTAAATTTAGGTTTATTCTATACAGGTATCCCCAGTAACCATCTAACGCATCTAAATAATTACATGGTTGGAGCGAAGGTACAATAAAGCCTTGTGCCACGATAATTAAAACACTACCCCCTGAGTACGCAAGATATTACATAAACGTGACATGCTCAAAATTGTGTACAACAAATTTTTTACAGAGTCACTCCTTTCACGTCTCTAAGAAAATAAAATTGCAATTCAAAACGGGATATTCGCAGCCCGTGTCATTTTGTTGCGTTGGCGTTCCTGAAAATAAATGTAGTGTGTCTGTTCATCATCGATGTTTTCATTTCTTTTCCCTCGCAGAAATGTGACTCGCTTTGATACTTTCATGGGAGAACTGTTTTGCAGAAAAAAAAAAACGCCTTTTCTAGATGTGTGTGCAAGGTATATTCGAGAAAAATATCATATTTTCTCTAGACTACGGAAACTGCAGTCTCAAAGAGCGACGGTTGTTTCTACGACGGAGCCAGCAATACTTTTTGTGTCTTAAGCTGCTGAAAAATAAAACGCAGCAGAATAGCAAGAATATTTTAATGAGAAACACGTTAACAACATTCAAGAAATTAATAAAATTGCTTCTCAACGAAAATCTCAATTATATATTTTATAAAAAAAAAAATCCGACTTGATATTTATAATCGACAAAGTTGTGATGGAAATACAAATGTTGCGATATATAAATTATGTATCGAATCAAAAGAAAATAAAATATAAAGTCTTCAAATAAGTTATAATTATAGAAACTATTGTGATGTATCTGGAACATGTATATATATTTTTTTTTTACGTAATTAAAACTACAGCCAGTGCGTTGCACGCACACCTAAACGCAAGTAACAAGAATTTATTTCAAGCGCGCTAATTCCCGTGCCGTAACGAAGATAGCTGGAGAAAGAAAAGAGAAAATGAAAATCTTGTTTTGACTACAACTCTTCTCGCGATGAGACAGATAATGATACTGCATAAAGCCGGCGCAAAGACCATTTTCAAACTCATCTTGCTTTGAAATATCGTTATTATAATAGTTAACAACATTATACATACTTCTTGGTAAAAACGAGAATAAGATTCTTTCTTTCTTTTATTCTTAAATTCTTAGAAATCTACTTGTATGGAATCTAGAATAGGGATTGCACTGTCCATTTTTGTCCAAAAATGTGACACGGAATGTGACTCGTATCGTTAGGTCGGCTTTAAAAGGCAGTAGTTTATAAGGTGAATTATATCCTCTTCAATAAAGCTTTTAAAAGGAAGAGATTCTTATAGTAATTCTTGTGTTTATGCTGTTTTTAGCGATGTAAACAAGTTCGCCACATTAGTTCGCGATACATGTGTATAACGAAATATAATAAAAAGATAAGCATATACATAAAATATACATGTGAAGCAAGTAGTATTTTTAGGAAAATGTCGGCACGCTTCGCGTTTAACACTGTACAATATTTTTAACTATCGGGCATACGAATGTGTGTACATGATGTCATTTGTTCGGTAGGCACCTAGGGGAGAAAACGTTCCGCATACAGTTGCATTTGTTCCCGCAACGCTATTCTAGTCCTGCGTTTATTTACAAAGGTGGAAATATAAAAAAAAACACACAAAACATTTGTTTGTTCTATTAATATTTTGTTATCGTCCATATTTCTGTGTGTAATTATCTCCTCTTGTTTTTTCTTTCTTTTTTTTTTTTTTTTCGAAAATAGAAAATTGTTCTTCACCGCCGTAGAAATTTTACTTTCCGATGGTGTAAACTCAACGCTCTTTATTCATTACAAAAGTGCCAAGTCATATCGCCATTAATAATTCATAAACGGTTACTAATTGTGAAGGGAGACGATGCAAAAGGGATCGACAAGATGCTGACGCAACGAAGCGCAAAATTGTAAAAAGAGTTGCAAAGCGCATCAGTATTAGCATTTTAAATAACAATGCCAAAATTGTTTATCCTTTTGTGGAATTTGTCATAGGGATAAAAATATGAGGCTACAACGCTACACACGTTAATAAAATAATGAATATAATCGCATTTTGCAAAAAAAAAAAAAAAAAAAAGGAAAGGAAGAAAAAAAGATGTCTCCCTTTTTGTGTACTTAACCTCTTGTGAGATGTGTTAAGCTTCACTATTTAATTGGAGTGCAACAACGTCGCGCATTACGTAACAGTTTGACGTAACGTAAGTAGTGTAGGCAAAAGCTTGTGCAAACAAGCAGTCTTATGGTCAGCCCCAACTGGTGCATCACGTTTATAGCGCTAAATCTAGCCTGGTTTTCAGTTTACGGTGCGATAACGTTACACGTGATCTTCGTATCAAATAATGAAAGCTGCGTTAAAAAGATGAAAAATTACTAGTTTTTTTTTTTTTTTTTTTTTTTTTCTTCCCAGTTCGCCGACGTTAACTCTTTTCCTCATTTCGCCCGGCGGCAAAAAATCGCTGTAAAAGCAATTATCAACTTGTTTTTCTCCCGGTACGCGTTGCTCACAACAGAATGGAAATAAGAATTCCGACAAGGATGCTTCTCTACTCTGGGGATTAGAATGACGTCGTTAAAATCCTTCTCGTTCGCAATCGACTGAATAAAAGTGAAGAATTACAGGCAAATCAGAACGGCAAATGCAAGAATACGACGAGAGACCGGAGAAAATATAAAGACGTAACGAACGTAAGCAAAGAAACGAAGTGGAAGGATTTGACGGTTCTAAGGAGGGCATATCTTATTCGCTCCCGTCAGAATAAATGTATCCTACTTAATCTTAAGACGACGGTAAGGATTGTGACTGGCGGCCTCATAAAATGTGACTCGGGTCGCATAAAATATACGTAACGACTTATCGATTCATCAGCGGATAATTAATCTCGATATGTCGCTCCGTCTGAATATTGAACGAGAAGAAAGAAGATGTTACACGTGGAACAGAGAACTTTCTGCTTGTAATGAAGTGTGATATCGATATCGGCACAACAGAATGGAAATCGTACCAGAATACACATACATAGAAATACATAGACATCTTCTCTCTTGCATTTATTGATCGTGATACTCATTCTGCATTTGTTTTTTGCTGCAAGCACATCTCTTTAAGTATTATATAAAGTGTCTTTGTTTACCGCAACAGTCTGTAAGCATTTTGCAACAAGTATTACCGTACGTCAAATATGAAATGTTACCATAAACATTTTTAATAAACCGTAAATAATTTAAATTAAAATTTCACTTTTATATATATATATATATCTGTGTGTGTATTCCAATCTTAATTTTAATTATCTATGTAAACTACATATCTTTTTTGTATTCTAGATTTACAAATATTTAGATATCTTGATCAAATATATATTCGATCAAATATATATTCGATATTCAGATATAAACCGGAAAGCAATTAATTGTCAAACGTCAATACAGCAATCACTTCGCACCGCAAATTTGCACATAAAGGTGATAGAATCATCTAACGTTAATAAAATCTCTCTCTTTAAGATATAAAGTAAAAATTCTCTTGACAACTTAGATTATATCCGGAAAATATCCGTATCGCATTAACTGAGAAAAGCTAATACATGCTTGCCAATATCCGACAAACGTCGAATGTGAAGATAAGAAAATGAAACTGCTTTGCGTTCTTTAAGCTTTAAGATCAGTATTTCTCAATACAAGGAATTTAACGTTATTCACGTCGACAAAACTTGCGATAATTTTTCTTTTTACTCCATCTTACTTGCAGGCTTTAAAAGCACAAATACAGTGGACAAAAACTTTCTCTCGTTTGGTATATTCCACCAGATTTTACCTCTCACAACATCCGTATTCAGCAGAGTTAGTCGGAGACCCATTTAAAATTGGATTTGTTTAAAAAGCCGCCGGGCAAAGGTACCGTCCAATTAAATTTTCGAGCCAATTTATCGATCCGAAAAGATGTAAGAGTGCGAGAGAAAGCGCTGACCTAATCGGACACACACACACACACACACACACACACACACACACACACACACACACACACGCGCGCGCGCGCGACGAC